TGATCAATTTTCAAATAAATACACAAAATGTTGTCAATGCAACTTCAGAAGAGTAATATAAAAATAGTGGTCAGCCTTGTCAGTGAAATCTTTATAAAAGATATGGAATTTAGCCTGTGGTTTAGGAATTTGTAAGATTAAGATTAGTAAAATTGAAAGGTGTAGCTGGCTTAAAGAAAGTTGAATTGTATAAGCCAGTCCCTGGAGAAGAACATCATGCTTGGTAAAGTGGAGGACCTGCATGAAAGAGAAAGTCCTTCCAAGGAGCTGGATTGGCACAGCCGCAGCAGCAATCAGCTCAGACATGGCAATGATTGTGAAGAGGACGTAGGACTGAGAAGTGTTTTGTTCTTTTGTACATGGTTTCACCTTTTGTGGGAAATGAGTCAATGACACTTAACAACAACAAAAATATACTAGATGGAAAAATACAAAGAAGAAAACAAACCAATTTATTATAAGCAAGGTATGTTTAGAATCTGTCATACCCTCTGATAAATTGAGTAGTCTATATGCAATGGGAAGAATAGAGTGAAAATAAGTATGCAGTTTTGTTCAGACAATACTGGCATTTAAAACAACAAATTCATAGTTAGTGTATAAAATTTATTAGAAGATAGCAAAAAAAAAAAAAAAAAAATAGAAACCTGCCTGGACAAGGTTTCCAAAAATTTAAGCAACAGAATCTTTTCTTCAAATGAAATCTAACTATGATCTCCTTGTTTAAAAGATGAAAATGAGATACTTTTAAAACAAATTATTTTTCCATTTAAATTGGACTAACGTAATTATCCAATGGGAATAAAATATGATCAAAATATTTTCTAGTATATGAATATGGTTTGTATTGTAGTGTGCCTATTGTTAATACTGAAATATAAATGACATTTAAAAATAAATACCTCTATCAAATTGTACAAGATCTTTGAAACATTTATGTTTGTATCTCTGTGAGGTAGAAGACTGTTCAGGTAGCTTCAGCATGAGAGAAATGACTTTGGAAATGAAAAAAAAAAAAAGACAATGAGTTTAAACTAAATCTCTAAAGGAAGAATATTTGATATTTAGTCAAATGAATTTAAGGGTCCAGGGAGATTGAATGAACAGTCAAAGATGACTTGACATATGGTGAAATATATCATTTCCTGTGTATCTCTCAATGACTACCCATCACCTATATGCCAAATCCCAAACTATTTATCAGAGCTGTTAAGTATCTCTGAGATCTGACCCAACCTTACTTCTGCCTCATCTATATAGCCAGCTTTCTTTTTTTGGTGCCAAATTTTTCAGTTAAGAAGAACTGAGGTTCTTCTTTTTCTGAGCCTCTACATGTTCTACTTAAAATACCTCTTTTCTGGGGGAGACCCTAGAATTAATTTAACACTTCTTGTTAATTGCCATTGAGTCAACCATGACTCACATGTGACCTCTTATGTGTCAAAGTAGCGCTGTGTTTCATGGGATACTCAGTGGCTGATTATTCAAAAGTAGATAACCAGTCCTTTCTTCTGAAGTGTTTCTGGGTGTACTCAAACTTTCAATATTTAGTTAGCAGCCAAGTGCATGGACCATGTAAACCACCCATGGAATGTTGGGTCTTCTCGCATGATTTATAGGTCTATTCACAAGACTCTATCATGTAAATTGCTTAATCTCAGTCTGCTTGCTAAAATGTATACTCTGTGAACTATATCCTGTTGTGTATTACATGATTATCAAATAAATGGATGATAAATTCAGTTTTGTGCAGGATGAATGAAGGAACATTCAAGAGAAACTAATCAAGAATCATTTGAAAATTCAGAAGTTATTGTTTGCAATTTTGTACCCATTCCAAAGACAGGAGATCAAATGCAATGTAGATATTATCAAACAATACCATTAATATCATACACAAGTAAAAAAATTTCAGGAGATACTTCAAAAATGGTTGCAGCAGTATAATACCCTGGAACTGCCAGAAATTCAAGCTAGATTCAGAAGAGGGCATGAAATAAGTGATATCATTGGTGATACAAGATGGATCTTGGCTGAAAGCAGAGAATACCAGAATACTTTGTTTTAAGTATTCTAAGCAAAGACATTCAACTATGTGGATCCTAATGAATTTTGGGTAAATTGTGAAGAATAGGAATTTCATATAATTTAAATGTGTTGCTTCAGAGTCTGTATATGGATCAAGAGGCAATTACTCAAACAGAACAAAGAGATACTGTGTGATTTAAAATCAGGAAAGGTGTGCATCAGGGTTGTATTCTCTCACCATACTTATTCACTCTGTTTGCTAAGCAAATAATCTAAGTAGCTGAGCTATATGAAAAAGAATGCAGCATCAGGGTGAGATGAAGACTCTTTAACAACCTGTGATACACATAAGACACAACCTTGCTTGCTGAAAGAGAATACTAGAAGCATTTATGTTGAAGATCAAAGACTTCAGTATGGATTACACCTCAATATAAAGAAACCAAAGTCCTCATAATTGGACCAGTAAGCAACATCATGATTGAAATATTGAAGTTTTCAAGGACTTCATTTTATTTTAATCCATAATCAACATGAATGGAAGCTCCAGTCAAGAAATCAAACAACATATTACATTGGCAAATCTGCTGTAAAAGACCTCTTTAAAATGTTAAAGAGGACTAAATTTCATCTGACACAATCTATAGTATTTTCAATTGCCACGTCTGCATGAAAGCTTAGCAGTGAATAAGGAAGACCAAATAAGAATTGATGTATTTGAATTATGTTGTTAGTGAAGACTATTGAATATACCCTGGACTGTCAGAAGAATGACCAAATATGTTTTGGAAGAAGTAAAGAATTCTCCTTAAAAGTGAGAATGGGGAGACTTCATCTAACATAGGTTGGACAGGTTATCAAGAGGAACCAATACCTAGAGACGAAGCCTATTCTTAATAAAATAGAGGGTCTGTGATAAGGCATAAGGCAGATTGATATAGTGGCTGCAACACTGTGCTCAAACATAGGAAAGTACTAGGCAGTGCTTCAATCTGTTTTGGGTAGTATTGCTAAGAGTCAGAACCAATTCAATAGCACCTAACTAGAACAACTATATAAGATTAAGATAAGACATATGCACATATGATATTCATTGTATTTTCAGTTTCTTTATCGAATAGCATTCTTGTGTTAGACATCGAAGTGTTGTTTTTGTAATGTGCCATCGAGTCAGTTCCAATTCATAGTGACCCTGTATAGGGTTACCAAAGAGTACTGGTGAGTTTGAACCACTGACCTTGTGGTTCAAATCAACATTTCGGTCCAGTGCTTTATCCCACAGCACCACATTAGGACTCACAGTAACCTTGTAATGGGATTTCAAGTCTTTTTTCAGTCTTCCTGGAAGCAGAAAGCCATATGTTTCTCATCAGCCACTGAAGTTGGTTCCTTGGTTGGTTATTGCCGTGAAGTCAGTTCTGAGTCAGAGTGACCCTGTATAGGGTTTCTGAGACTGTAAATCCTTATGAGAGCAGAAAGTATCATGTTTCTCCTGTGGAATTGCTGGTAGTTTCGAACTGCTGACCTTGAGGTTAGCAGCCCAACTCATAACCATTATAGTACCAGAACTCCTTAAGACACTGAAGTAGGTGCTGACAATTTACTTTGCAGGGCAATAAAGACATAGAAACAGATTATTTTAATATAATGTGAAGAGGTATAATATAACTGTTACAATTTGTAATCAATTTCTTATGGTGGTGCAGAAGTCATCTCCAAACTGATGACATTTGAACTTATCTTGAAATGAAAGCAGGAGCTCATAAGCAGATGATTTATTAACAGCCATATGAAAATCCAGGCTATAGAATAAATGTACAGTAGGTTGGTGTCAGGGAAAATGTGGGAAACGAAGCTAGGATAACCAGATGGGGGGTGGGGGTGTCTTTTATTCTCAGTTAATGAGTCTGGATTTTTCTTTAGTCAGTGAGAATCACTGAATAATTTTAAGCGTAGGTGTGATATGATGACAATTTCAGAAAAAAAATAATCCTGTTGCCTTTATGGACGATAGAATAGCAGTGCTGATAACATCCCGAGAGACCGTGAAAGCTAAGGGGCTTGTTGGTGTAAGGAGACTGAACTGTGCTTGTGAAAGTAGGGCTAAAAGGGAGGAAAGAGATTTGTGAAATATTTAAGTGATTGAATTTATAGAATTATATGCACCAATATTACTTACGCTATACTCAAGTCTCTTTGTAAGTATATTAGGATTCATTTTTTTTTCTGAAAATATTGGCACTCCAAAGAAAGTATAAATAGAAATGCTACTAATTTTCATTACAATAAATAGATTTTAGAGTAACATCCTATTATACCTAGATCAAAATCCCTAAGCATTAAAGTTTTATTTTTCTTTAAAAATATATTTTGTTTTTATTGATTTAAATTTAGATGTCACAACAAAAGGCATCATTACTTTCTACTTAGAATATTAAGAAAGTCAAAAATTTGAATATATTTTATATTGTAAAGTCAATGATTGGCATGGGGTATATGGAATGAAAGGTTAGAATAGATCTCGAATAAGAGAAAATAATATTTTCAAAATTTCTTAGCTAATCAACTCTATAGGCATTTTTTGCTCATGCACAAGGATAAACTGGAGAAGAAAGTGGCTAAATCTACAAGCACTGAATTCATTAGTTGTTTTTAATTAGCAATTTATTTTTTCTGCATGAGTAACTTTGTTGGGAATGTATTGCCTTTTGTAACTGAGGGTTAACAATTAGCTAATAAGGTCTTTTAAGAATAAATTAAGATACTGAGATAACAGATGTGCTTACGATTAGAAATTAAGATAACAGTCAGGTGATTTACTATAGTAGCATCAACAAACTGATAAGGAGAAACTAAACTGAGAGAACATTTTAGATACTATTTGGTTTTATTGTCAGTGTAATGGTGTGTGTGTGTGCGCATGTCAATGTGCTCTTTTTTTTTTTTTTCTCTTTTCTCTCATTTGCTTTCAGCTATGACAGTGATAGCTGGTGCCCACCTTTACCAGTACAAACATACTTGCACCAGGGCATGGAAGATGAGTTGGAAGAAGATGATGATCGAGTCCCAACACCTCCTGTCCGAGGCGTGGCTTCATCTCCTGCTATCTCCTTTGGGCAACAATCCACTGCAACTCTTACTCCATCCCCACGAGAAGAGATGCAACCCATGTTGCAGGCTCATCTGGATGAACTGACAAGGGCCTATCAGTTTGACATAGCAAAACAAACATGGTAAACAATCCTCATTAGACCAGAGACACATGTTTTCAATATTGGAATAAGGAACTGTTTGCTCAACTTTGAACTTATTAGAGATTCTCATAGAACTATATACAATTTTGGTTAAAATTGTTTTCTACAACTCTAATAATTTAAAAAAGAAATTTGAACATAAAATGTAAAATAAATTGGCCAAAGTCTTCTACCTAGTTAGAGAGTTAACTGGAGGAAGACTTTGCATCTGTTGTATTTTGGGCTAAAGTGCCTTTGGCTATGCCAGAATCTTTTCTAATTTACAGTTTAGCTTCAATTAGCTTATCCTTGAACTCATTTCCAAATCCATAACTAGGGACTTCTTTCAGATCCTTCAAAGTGCCTGTGATTAATTCTGCATGTGATTGTGAATATGTAAATGTAAGTTTCCACAATTCACATATGGTCAATGTCAGTTATGAAAAGCCTTCTTTGGGCTGAATTAAATGAGACAGATAGAACAACACTAGTAACAGTAAATGCATAAATAATAAAATACATTAAAAAACAAAGTTACTTTTTCTAAAAAATCCAAAATAATTTCTTAGCTTATAGCTTATAAATGGCAATTTACTTAGGTATCTCATGAAAATATGACAAATACAAGTTAGGCCAACTTTTATAGTTCAGCTTTTTTTATGACATTTTATGTCTGACCCTTGAAAATGAAATCTCAATGCCATGCCTGTAATCACTGTAGTTTTTGTGAGGATTAAATGAGTTTGAACTTGTATAGTGCTTAGTATAGAACCTGAGTAGATTATGTTGGTTTTACTGTATGCTGTCAAGTCAGTTCTGACTCATAGTGATTCCATATATAGAGCAGAACTGATCCTTAGGGTTTCTTAGGCTGTAATCTTCACAGAATGGAGTCCAGTGTGGTGCTGCAGGTTAATAAGCTGGACTGCAGAGTCAGTTTGAACCGAAGGTTGGCCGTTCAAGCTCACCAATTACTCCTTGGAAACCCTATACAGGGTCAATATGAGTCAGAACTGACTCAATGGCACTTAATAACAACAACAATAATAATTTTTACATAAACAGAAAACCAGATCTATTTCCCATGGGGCAACTAGTGGGTTCCAACCAATGACCATTTGTATAGCAGTGGACTGTGTAACTATTGTGCCATTTGTTGTTGTTGTTCATGTCGATCCCAACTCATCAAGAACCTATACAGGGTTTCTGAGGAGCAATTGGTGGATTTGAACCACCAACCATATGGTTTGCAGTCCAGTGCTTATCCTACAGCACCATACCAAGAATTCATTGTTGTTGCTGTTTTTAAAGTGCTGTTGAGTTGGTAACAAGGATTTCCAAGGAGAAGCTGGTGAGCTTGAACTACTGACCTTGTAGTTCAAGTGGCTTTGCAGTCTGGCACATTAACCCACAGCACCACACCAGGAATCGAGAAGTCCATTAGTGTGCCTCAAAATTAGTGTGTCACAAGTAGCTCTTATAATTCAGAAGAGTTGGGTGTTCATCTGCCTTTTTCACTGTTATCTTTCCACAGCTAGAAAAAACCTCCACTTAGTAAGTGATCGATAGATATTTGCTAATAAGTGAGCAAATTACTTGATCTCTACCCGCTATAAGTACCAATACAGCAGATGATGTTTCTCTTTCTAAGTAAATTTCCACTCAATCCAGTAATCTTCCACAATACCTTTCTGACATTGGAATTGCAATTTTCAGTGTGCTCATAAAGAATTTGCCAATCTGCTATATAAGTGCCTTTTGTCAGAATCCTTTGAAGAACACTTAAAAAAATACTGATGTCCTGGCCCCACTCCAGGAACTCAGTTTACATTGATCCATGAAGTACACAAAACAGTATATCACTAAGAAGACATTAGTAAGTGTTTTGTACCCTTTTCATATATTTCAATTTGCCTCCTAATTCTGCTGAACTCAAAGAGTAAATATTTCATGACTAAGACATGTTAAAATTTTCATGGGATAATAACATTGGTCTGGTCCCTGCTTCCCAGGACCAAATTCTATACCATCACCATAAAT